TTTCTATGATGTGCTATTTGTATTTTTATAGTTGAGATTCAATTTATTTTATAAATATTCGTAGAGAGCCCACTATGCTAGTCTGCCACCAGAGTCTCAAAGATACACACTTTAAATATGACCCTTTCTCATGGGTCTGACAGCTGATGGAAAGAATGGTTAGCTAAAGCAATCCCAAATCTGTAGCGGACTAAACAAATACCAGATATACTCGAGTATAAGCCGCGTTTTTTTCAGCACATTTTTATGCTGAGAAAGCCCCCCAGTTTTTGTGGTAAAATTAGGTGCCTCGGCTTATACTTAAGTATATACAATAGTCCCTTGTTCAGGAATGTTTCAGTTGTAAAGAAAATACAATAGTAAGAGTCATTTGAATTTTATCCATTTACTGTGATAACACCTATTTCGTCAGTGTTCTATATGTCTTTAGTTTATGGGAAGTGGAGAATTGTCCAATAAACATGGATTAGCTAGTCTTTGAGGATACAGCTATGGGGAAAATAGTAGCTTCTGCCCTTAACTGGCAGTGGGTTGGACAGAGATAGACAAGACCACCTCTTCATTGTGAAACTGGCTCTGCTTTGTGCATCAGCTTCAGAGGTCCCTGGCAGGGAGTGTTGTTAAGGCTTTCACAGAGGACATAGCTCAGATACAGGACATTGAAGGTAGGGTGAACCCTGACCAAAAATAAGGACATGTGAGAGTTCTAACTAAGAAATAGCCACCACCTGGAATTTGGGGCTTAGCCATGCTTAGGCGTTGGTCTCCTGGCAAGGAAGGCAGTTCATAGAGGCAGATGCCTCCTGCTCGTTCCTCCTTGGATTCCTGATGGTCCCTTTTCCTCTGTTGCTCCAGAGAAACAGCAGGACTAGAGGCAAAATTGTTGCACTTTGAATGACTGCTTGAAAGCTTTTAAGACCTCAGCCACTTAAACAATGAACATGGCGGCCGCCCAGAATCACTAAAACCGATTGTAGGCCAGCTGATGGGAACGTCTCATGAAATCATGACCCTGAATCAAGGAGATGAATCCCATGTGGTGTCAGCTCTTCTTTGCTGCTATTGTCTCTTTAAAATGACTTGAAATACATTTGCCAATTCAGCGTTTTTCCAAATATGTAACAGTGATATCAGTGAACGTTAATCAGGCTTTGCAGCCATTACCCTTAATTTGTGCCAAATTTCCTACTAGTGTAGAAATGATTTTACTTGTTTTTACATATATATCTTCTGTTTATTTTTCTTGTCTTATACTCTGACGAGGACTTTTAATACACGAGTGACTAGAAATGGTGAGAATGAGCACCCTTGTCTTGTTCCTGATTTCGAGGGGAAAGCTGTGAGTCTTTCTCCACTAAGAATAAGCCGGCTGATGACTTTTTCTTTGTGCCCTGCATCCTATTGAGGAGTTTCCCTTCGATTCCAGTCTCCCGAGGTTTCCATTAGGAAAGGGTGTTGCTGCTGTTGTTAGGTGCTGTCACGTCAGTTCTGACTCATAGCAACCCTAGATCAACGGAAGGAAGCACGTCTGAGCCAGTCTGAGCCAGCCACTCTGTCAGTCCATCAGGAGGGGCTTAGATGGTCCCAAACGCCTTTTTCTGCAGCCACAGAGACTCGTGTACTCCCTTGTTCTATTAATCTGGTGTGTATCATGTTGGGGGCTTTTCTAGTGTTGGACCACCCCTCCATTCCTGGGAGATAGCTCACTTGACTTGGTTAAAATGTCTGACTCTTTCAATATGCTGTTGGACTCGGTTTAAAAACTAAAACCAAGCTCGATTTTAACTCATCATTACCTTATAGGTCCTGTAGAGTAGGCTATCCCTGTGGGTTTCTGAGACTGTAAATCTTGATGGCAGTAGAGAACCTGATCTTTTGCCTATCGAGCAGCTGGTGGTTTTGAACTGCCATCCTTGCTGTTAGCAGCCCAATGTATAACCCACTGAGCCACCGGGGATGCTGGATTTTGTTTGCTAGTTGGACCTGGTAGAACTGCCTCTCTTGTTTTCTGAGACTGTAACTGTCAGGAATAGAATGTCTCATCTTTCTCTTGACCGCTTCTCTGCCACATTCTCTGGTTATTTCCCTCTTCTGGTTTCTTATTTCTGAGACCACATTTTTATTTTATTTAATTTTTAAATTTTTTAAATTAAAAGATCATTTTATTGGGAGCTCTTACAACTCTTATAACAATCCATACATCAATTCATGAAGCACATTTGTACATATGTTGCCATCATTCGTTTCTAGACATTTGCTTTTTAATTGAGTCCTTGGTATCAGTTCCCCCTTTTCCCCCTCCCCCCTACCCTCATGACCCTTTGATACATTAAGAATGACCATTAATTTCATATTTCACATTGACCGGTCTTCCTTCCCCCAGGGTTTCTGTGAGACCACATTTTCAGTCCAAAAGCAAGCACCCACTGAGACTCTTGAGACTGAGGATTTGCCAATTTGCTCTGTCCTCGGCACCCTTCCTTGCTTTGTGGGAGCCGTTTATATCGGCACTGACTTTCAGGGGAGGCCCTGGCAGACATTCCTTTGAGTCAGAAGGAGGCGCGGGCTTTCCCCTAAAGGACATCCAGGACATAGGCCTTGCTAGTCTCAGGGTCCTAGTGGCCTTTTGGTGGCTGCGGGAGTTGTGTCCACTTCCATGACATACGGGTTGCTGAGTGTAAGAATGGACTTGACAGCTTGGCGGCGCCAGCACAGGTCTCCCATGAAACCAGTACCAGCGGTTTTGCTGGGGCAGTGTTGTGAAGAAGTCAGAGTGTGAATTCTCCTACTTTGTTCTTAAAAAGGCCCGAGCGATTTGGGACCTTCGCCAAATCGCTGTTCCTTAGAAAATTGAGCATTGATTTTTCTATCTCCATAGAGAAGACTCTTGAACTGTTGTTGATGCCATTGTTGATTTAGGTCCTCTCAACTCTTTCCGGCAGGCTTTTATAGTTTTCATTGTGTAAGTCACATCCTTGGTTAAATTTATTCCTAGATATTTTCATTTCTTAGCTAGCTGCTATTGTTCGAGGGGGTTCTTGCCCTCTCCTCTCAGATTTCTCTTTGCTGGCCTGTTTGTGCGCACTGATCCGTGGGCTTTTCTGTACACGGCTGTCCTTCCTCACATGTGGTCTCACATCCTATAGTCTGAGAAGTGGAGACCCTGGAGCCACGGCACGGGAAGTCCACATGGAAAATCACAGAAATTGATCAATTTTAAATTGCACGCTTTCCAGAGTAGTGCAGTGAAATCTCATGCCATCACATTCTTTCCTGCGTGGGACCTGCATATCTATTGTCCCATTGTCCAGTGTGTACACTACTAGGACTAAGCACCAGTCTCAGTTATCACTGTTCAAATAACAGTACTTGTGTTCAAATAACCCTTATCTGACTCAATAGTATTTCTATGAGTTATTTGTGTTACTTTCCTATTACTTATCATTAATGTCTTAATATGCCTAATTTATAAGTTAAACATCAGAGTTATATATGGATAGGAGAAAACGTAGGATATATAATATACCTCAGTACAATCCACAGGTTAAGGCATCTCCTGGGGGTCTTGGAGCATATACCCCATGCCTTAGGGGTGGGGATGTTACTGTCATCTATGAACAGAAATCATTTTATTTCCTCCTTTCTGATTGGGATACCTTTTGTTTCTTTTTCTTGCCACTTTGCCCTGGTGATAATGTCCAGTATTTGTTGACTTTTTTAACATGATTCCCAGATGATCTTGATGGGTGGCTAAATTTAAATAGTGACCTCTGGTAGGGAATGCCTCTTACAACAGGAACAAGACACAAAGGGCATGTGACTTATAAAATTAACTACCAGGGTCTTTGGACCAATTGGTTCTTTAAACATTCACGTGAGCTCTTAAGGGTGAGGGGCAAGATGTATGTGTGCCCAGTGTGGGAGGGCTATTGTTAGGACAGTTACTGAAGGTGTTGTAACTTTCCTGGGGACACGGGTTAATGGAGTAACCAGGACGACCATTTCAGGTTGCAAAACCTTGAAGACCTCGTTGAACACATTTGTGATAGGCCTGGTGGTGGGATGTTCAGGGCACGAAAGTGGACCTGAGCTCAGGCTCTGTCTGCACTGTGCCATCCTTTCCTTCCCTGCACTGTAACGTCCCCGTCCCCTGATGAGCAGTGGGGCCTGCTTGGGAGGGATGGATGGGGAGTCTCCAGATGTGGCCTTTCTCCGTTTGCTGGATTTGGCTTTGGCCATCTCATTCATTACAACTTGAACCCAAACTCAAGTATTTAGTGCTCCCTTTGGGCACAGGTCTGTGCCTCTGGGACAGGACCAGCCTCAGGGGGACCCCATAAATAAATTGTACTTGAAGACAGAGCAGTGGTTCTCAACCTTCCTCATGCCGCCACCCTTTCATACAGTTCTTCATGTGGTGGTGACTCCCAACCACAACATTATTTTCATTGCTATTCATCACTGTAATTTTGCTACTATTATGAATCATAATGTAAATACCTGATATGTAGGCTGTGTTTTCATTGTTACAAATTGAACATAATTAAAGTATAGTGATTAATCACAAAACAATGTCATAATCACAAAACCATATATATATTGTGAAATATTTGTTTCTAATTACAAATAAATGAAATTTTGTCTTGAAGCATGGTATAGCATGGGTAACAGTCTTCTCACCAGGTACTTGTACGTGGGCGGACCCACCTGGAGACAGATAGAGGAGCAGTCTCTCGGTTCCTAAGACCATTGGAAATACATGTTTTCTGATAGTCTTAGGTGACCCCTGTGAAAGCGTCGTTTGACCGCCAAAGGGGTTGCAACCCACAGGTTGAGAACCACGAGATAGAGGAATGATGAGGAAGAATCCCAATTCAGTCTTACTGAATCAATCTTACCCAATTCAATCTTACTGCAATTTCAAAAGGAAATGATTGAACCTTCTCATAGAAAATATTAGCAACATTCCATGATGCTCACCTTCTCGACACAATCGCTGAAGACAAAGCGGGTGTATAAGCAAATGTGGTGAAGAAAGCTGATGGTGTCTGGATATCAAAAGATATAGTGTCTGGGGTCTTAAAGGCTTGAAGATAAAACAAGCAGTCATCTAGCTGACAAGCAACAAAGCCCACATGGAAGAAGCACACCAGCCTGTGTGAATATGAGGTGTCGATGGGATCAGTTATCAGGCATCAAAGAACAAAAAACTCATATTATTGTGAATGACAGGAGTTCAGAGTGGAGACCCAGAGCTCATTTGTAAGTAACTGGACATCCCCTTGCAGAAGGGTCACAGAGAGGAGATGAGCCAGTCAGGTGCAGTGTAGCAACAATGAAACACACAATTTTCCTCTAGTTCTTTCATGCTTCCTCCCCTCCCCACCCCCCACTATCATGATCCCAGTTCTAACTTACAAACCTGGGTAGACCAGAGGATGTATGCTGATACAGACAGGAACTGGAAACACATGGAATCTAGGACAGATGAACTCCTCAGGAGCAGTGATGAGAGTGGCGATACCTGGAGAGTAGAGGGAATGTGGGGTAGAAAGAGGGAACTGATCACAATGATCTACATATAACCCCCCTCCCTGGGGGATGGACAACAGAAAAGTGGGTAAAGGGAGATGTTGCACAGTGTAAGACATGACAAAATAATAATAATTTACAAATTACCCAGGATTTGTGAGAGAGGTGGGTCAGGGAGGGAGGGGGAAAATGAGGAGCTGATACCAAGGGCTCAAGTAGAAAGCAAATGTTTTGAGAATGATGATGGCAACAAATGTACAAATGTGCTTGGATGCATGGATGGATTGTGATAAGAGTTGTACGAGCCCCCAATAAAATGATTTTTTTAGAATTAGCAACAGTGAGCATGCACCCCATTATTATAAAGAAGCATAAGCTATTAGCCATGATAAAACTTCCTGGGTGAACATGAAGTGGAGTGGTATTCAGGATCTTGTAAGGCAAGTTTACAGTGCTCACTGCCTTCAGACCGTTCCCCTAAGTAGAATATTCTGGCATGCACCCAAGTAAAGATGGCCTTCCTGGGTTGCAGCAAGGCAGGTTTTACTACACCAGGACCGTTTTCCCCATTCTGTCTTCCATGGACCTTTCCCCCAGTTATCTTTTGAGAACTTTGCTTTTGTACATGCTCTGTAATAAAAATAGAAGTTAAAATCGTAACTGCTATAATGGAAATTTAAACTGGAACTTACCTTCTATCCACTTCTTGAGTCTTAAACTATATATAGTGTGGATCACGTGGTTACATATTATTTACCATGAAATAAATCCACTTTACCGTTTCAACTTGGTTGTGTATTTTCAGTTAAGCACAACTGGGAGACCATGATAGAAGCAATTCAAAAGCACATCGGCTCTTTAAATTGGCATTACAAGTCGTCTTTGAGGGAAAAAGCTGTGACCTATGTCAATTCCTATGGAGAATTTGTTGCAGATCATAAAATAAAGGTACTGTTTGAGTTCTTTTGTGTTAATCATTACCTTTCCTTATTATTGCTTATACCTGCCTTTAAGTAAAATTCTGTGTTGGGCTTTAAGGACTATCACTAACGCACACCCTCCACTGTTAATTGATCTCAAACGTCGGGCAAAATCGAAGAAAATTGCACTTTAAAGAACACTTTATTTAAAGCTATTATTTGCCCTTTGATTTCAGCCATTAAAAAAAAAGAAAGAAAATGTTTAGACTAAAAGGTTCATAGTTCAAAAGGCTACATAAAAATGCTAGCAGTGGAACCCTTTTAAAAATGGTGTTTTAACGTGAATGCCAATGTATAATATTGACACATAGTATCAAAATTAGTGCTTTATGAATATTTATAATCTTTAAGAGTTATTATAATAGAACCCTAGTGGTGCAATAGTTAAAGCACTCAGCGGCTAACTGGGAAGTTGGCAGCTCCCACCTACCAGTTGCTGTTCAGAGAAGGCTGTGGTAGTCTGCTTCCATCAAGGGTGAAACCCTGGGAGGCAGGTCTACTCTGTCCTGTAGAGTTGCTGTGGATCAGAGCAGCTTGACAACAGGGTGCTGGCTTATTTAGGCTCATCTGTTATAAGGTCAGTGCATAGGAAAATGAGACCCTTTTGACACAAACAACATTGAGTTTGGAGTTATGGAAGACAGTGGAATTGGATCCTCCACATCTGGTTGATAGGTTTGTCGTTGTGCTGTGGCACAGTGTGAGACAATTTTGATAAGATGGCGAATTATTTTGGAGGCATGTATTATCTCTAACTTTAAAAGGTTCAAGATGATCCCTTTAAAACTATTACATGAGCCAGTTTGAATTATATCATTCATAGGAAACATGGTAGAAATACAAGTTAGCTAGTTTGTTTCTCAGATTGTGATACAGTGGGCACATTTTGTTGGATGAGACTGTCTCCCTAATCAAGCCTACCCTGGCTTACTTCCCTGGGTAGCGATGTTAATGAAGGAATGTCATGTTCTTCCCTCTGCACACGAATGGGCACTGCCACTTTCTTGCTCTGTTTCAGACTTTCTGTAGTTCCTGTGCTCGTCTGCCTTCTGCCATTTCCCTGATGTGGTACTACCGCCCCCTTCATTGACATTGGGACTTTAAAAATGAAAATATATTTACAAGTTACTTATGTACTTAACCATAGACAAACAGTGGGCAGCCTTTGTTGGCAGCCCAGATACTGGATAATTAGGATGGTATGCAAGGTTCTTTATACTTCGCTGAAATCTCTATTTCTCCTCCCACACATAGCTTATGTTCCCGCTACTTCTGGCCACTTGCAGTTTCCCAATACCAACTTCTTTCAGGCCCTTGTGTGTATAGATGGAACTCAGATGGCACAGTGGTTAAACACTTGGCCACTAACCAAAAAGTCAGTGGTTCAAACCAACCAGCTGCTGCAGGGGAGGAAGATGTGGAAGTCTGCAGAAACTCCAGGGGGCAGCTCTCCCCTGTCCAGTAGGGTCTCTGAGTTGAAATCTACTAGATGACAAATGTGGGTTGTTTTTCTTTGTTGGATGGGGGAAGGAGGATGTGTGTTTGTGTACCAGTAAGTATAGGAGGGGACTTCAAAAAGCTTGTGGAAAAAAACAGAATGGAAAGATAATGCAATTTTTATTTGAACATTCTTTCCTCCTGCAAACTTTCTGAAGCACCTCATATCTGTATGTGCGCATGCACACGCGAGCACACGTGCGTGCACACACACACACACACACACACCCCTATACACACATGTATGCAGCTGCACACTGCACGGTTGGCAGTTCAGTTCTGCCCGGAAAGGCCTACCGTGAGTCCCTGAAGGACCCATGAAGCACATGTATAATGTTGAGAAACATGGGGGCTCCGGGGTCAGAATCCACTGGTTGTATCCCTATCTGTTGCTCTCTCTTCCTGGTCCTGCAGACCTCTCTGAAATAGTTTCATTTTTATCATGTCCCCTTAAAATATCATTTTTAAATATCTTTTTAAAAGCTGTCCTTTGACTAGCTTTCTAGTCTCTTGTCCCAATCTCATCCTTTGTTTAATATTTGGTAATGACTTCCATGTTAATGCTTAACACATTGCACTATTATTTGCACGTTCTTATTGAATGTGAATCTCTGCAAGGGGAACAGCTATTTTGTATGGGTGTCTGATACGCTCTAGTATTTGTCGACTAAGTGAAATGTTTTGTTTGTTTGCTTGTTTTTTTTCAAGGCAACCAATAAAAAGGGACAAGAAGCTTATTTTACTGCTGCAAATTTTGTCATAGCAACAGGGGAAAGGCCACGGTATTTAGGACTCCCAGGAGATAAAGAATACTGTATTACTAGGTAAGACGAGAGGCTCTGCATTTTCCCAATGATGAACATACTCACCTAGTAGCTGAAAGCTAAGAAGTCTGAGTCCACCCTGAAGGACCTCGGAAGAAGTTCTGGTGATCTACTTCCAAAAATTCAGTCTTGAAGCATCTGTGGAGCTCAGTTCTAATCTGATGCATGCGGGAGGTCAGGAGTCGGAGTCAGTCTCAACGGATGAGCTGCGGTCTTTCAGAATGCCTCTTGCTGTTGTTGAGAGTCTCCTCCGGGAAGCACTCGCCAGTGCACCAGTTTGTGACACCGGTTGCGGTTTAGAGTGTTGCACCGGCTCTCGCCCTCTGTTTCGGAGTTCTTCCGGCATTAGCATCAGCTCACTGCCCCCGTCTAAGCTTTCAAGTTGCTATTATCAGTTTGACCCATAGAGAGAGTTCTTAAAAGAGCTCAGTGTTCAAGAAAGTCCTTTTTCGCTCCGTAGGGGAATTATGGCCCATGTAAGGTGCTGTCACTGCATGCTTTGGGTTTACAGGTTGAAGGTTTCATGGAAGAGTTTCAGGGCTTCATCCAGCCTTTATGGCTCCACGAGTCTGGAGAGACTGTGAAATTCTGTGTATACATCTTTGATTCTACAGAATCTTCGATGGAAATATTTGGTAATGGTAGCTGGACACCATTCAGTTCTGATCACAAGACAAAGGAGGCAGTTGTTTCCGGAAGCAGGTAGTCACGCATTCCATTGTATATATTGACTGTATTTTGATTATTTATCCATCTGTTGATGGGCATTAGGGTGTTTCCATCTTTTTGCTTTCGTGACTAGTGCTGCAGCGAACTTTGGTATCTCTGTTTGAATCTGTGCTTCCAGGTCCCAGGAGTGCAGTTGCCAGCGCAGATGGCAGTTCTGTTGTCAGACTTATGAAGAACGGCCATTCGCTTTTCCTTTCTCCTCTGTAGTGGAGAACACTTCCAATTTGTGTTTCTGTCATTTCCTTTTTGTTTTTTCTTTGTATCTTATCCATTCTAGTGGGAGCAAAGTGGTGTCTCATTATGGTTTTTATTTTCTTGTGGTTTTTAAAAATTACCAACTAGTTGACATTTCCTTTTAACTCTAAATTGTATTGTCTTTATGCATTTTTAGTGTTACTCTTTCTCATTCCATGAAAAATTCAAACTAATGGCAAGTGAAAGTATATACAATGCATGAAGAGAAAGTAATAATGCAAAGAGAAAATAAGGTTAGGCAAATAAAGGATAAGCTCAGTGGTAAAATGTCATGTTAGGATTCTGTAGAGAAACAAAACCAGAACACCTTTGATTGTATATATGGATGTAAGAGGATCAATATATAAATGAGAAGGAATATAACAGCTAATTAGTGCACACAGCAGTACAGAGGGCTCAGTTCAACTCACTTCCATGGAAAAGTTACTATACTGGAAGTCCTTCAACTCACGAGGCCACTGGGTCCAAGGTTAAGGAAGCAGACACCTGAGTCTTCTGTAGAGCAATTCAGGCTATCCGGGCACAGGCAGCAAACAGCAGGGCGGGTCACCAACATTCAGCCAGAAGACAGGATCCAACAGTCCCAAGCTCAAGGGATGTAGACACCAGCAGCATGGTGAAGCAGGTCTCCAAGGAACCTCAAGCTCTAGCGACATGATCCACGGGTTGGCTGTCCCACAGGAAGTGTAGCTCACAAGTTGAGGCAGAGAACTAGCTAAGGCAGCCACATGCTGCTCTGATCACCAGAGGGCAAAAGAGAGAGAGACGGGGCTCACTGAGCCGTTTATCTCTTTGCCCTCCAATCAAACTGCGACCGTATTAATCCCACATGTTTTTATTGGACAGGTTGGCACAATAAACCTACCTTTCACAAATGTATTCTACAAATAAGCAGCATAAAAATGTGCTGCTTATTCCTGTGTAATAACTAGACATATAGTTTGGAAGTTTGGCTCTTAGCTTCCAAAACAAAGAAGTAAATACACTGAACTTTAGAGTTTGCTTTCTATGTGATAATAGGGAATCAGCTGATCAGGAGAAGCATGGCTATTCCTAATTTTCTGATTAAACAGGAATTTTCCCTGGATATTTCCCTTTAAGAAATCTATTTTTCACTGTATTACTGGTCAGATGAGTAGACATATATGTATGGACATCCAAAACAAATGCTCTTCGGCTCGCCACACGTACTGCAGCCTAATGTTTTCTATTTGTGCTATTGTTTTGTGACCCATTCATCTGTTTTCGAGGCAGGCTTCCTCCTTTAAATTCTCTCCACTGTAGACACAATGTCAAACTGTGAAATGTCTCTTTTTGAGTGTGTCTTCACTCGAGCACCAGATTGCTGTTCACCCAACAAGAGACCATCCCACGTGGAAAGACACATAACTCGTTTTTATTGTTTGTCTGTTTGTTTCCCCAGCGATGACCTTTTTTCTCTGCGCCATTCCCCCGGCAAGACTCTCGTTGTGGGTGCGTCCTACGTGGCTTTGGAGTGCGCAGGGTTTCTGGCCGGCCT